AATAAAATAAAATAAAATAAAATAAAATAAAATAAAATAAAATAAAACAATACAATCAACAGAACTCATCCTTCTAAAATTAGCTCCAAGCCTACTTGTACCAGGAGGTGAAACAGGTTCACACACCAACCATGAAAGTTAACTGCAGAAAAGAGGAAGCTGGGGACAACTTCCCAGCAGTACCAGCTAAACACAATGAGAGTAACCTCTGCTCCTTCCCTTTCTAAGAGGATCCAGAAGAACTCTAGTGATTACTAATCAAGAAGGCATCCACAGAAATCATCCTGTATTCAAATGCCCTTCCACAACTGCTCCCTAACCCAGCGACCCTAAATCCTGATAGAAAAAGAAGGAAGCTTTCCATTTTACTGACTCCCCAAAACAACCCTATAAAATAGAAATTACACGCCCCACTTTACAGATGGGGACACAAGGGCTCAGAGTACACAACCCGAGGTCACACAACTAAGTTTCCCGGCTGGTGTCACTTGCCCCAGGCACAGGAAGGAGACATGAAAACAGGTGCTTGAGGCTGGAGATAAAACTCTCTTCTCCTCCCTACCTCCCCCAGGGGCAGAAACTGAGCTAGATTTAGCGTGCACGGCCAAGCCTGGTGCCAGCGGCACACCAGACTCCAATGTTTGTCCCCTTCTTATCCGAGGCTCCCAGGCGTCTCCCTCCCAGCTTCAGCAGACCCATCCATAAGAGGGCTATGAGTGAGCCTGCCCTGTGGCTAGGACTCAGGGGATGCCGGAAGTCACAGCCCTGAACCCAAGCTGAATGAGGGAGTAGAGCTTCCATAAAAAGGAGTGGGTGTCGCAGCAGCACTATTCACAATAGCCAAGGTGGAGGACAACCTAATGTCCATTGACAGATGAATGGATAAGCTACATGCTGTACAGCCATACAAGGGAATACCAGTCAGCCGTAAAAAGGAGTGAAATTCTGGTACATGCTAAACGTGGATAAACCTCAGAAACATTTCCACCCAGCAGTTGGAAAACATTTCATGTAGCATAAACCTCAGAAACATTATGCTACATGAAATGAAGCCAGACATAGAGGCCCATATGTTGATTTCACTTACAGGAAATGTCCAGAAAAGGGAAATCCATAGAAACAGGCTGTGAGAAGACCAGTAGTCGCCAGGGGCTAGCAAGAGGGAAAAGGAAGCATGACTGCTAACGGGTACAGGGTCACCTTTCGGGTAATAAAAATGTTTGGAACTACATAAAGGTGGTGGTTGCACAACACGCTGAATGTACTAAGTGCCCCTGAACTATACTCTTCTAAATCGTTAATTTTATGTTACGTGAATTTCATCTCAATTTTTTTTTAAGATAGTAGGAAGGTAACTTTGTATGATCAAGTTCAGCCACTAGAAGGAAGAAGGGAAAGAAAGCTTCCTGAAGGAAGAGGCGGGAGGTGGGAGAGAAGAGGACGGTAATAAATAGGGAGGTTTTGTAAAAAAGATTTGGAAAATTAGAAAAGGGAGAAAAGGGGGCACCTGGGTGGCTCAGTCAGTTGAGCATCTGATTCTTGATTTCTGCTCAGGTCATGATCTCAGGGTTGTAGGACTGAGCCCCGAGTCGGGGTTCCCACTAAGCGTGGAGCCTGCTTAAGATTCTTTCTCTCTCCCTCTCT